TGCTAAGGGAAATGACAATGAGGCACCCAGGGAGAATCTGTCATTTGCTTTTGGGTTCCAAAACAAATACTTTCTTCCTGGATAAATAAAAATTCTTGTTGGTCTACCATGCTTGGTTCTCCCAAAGTTTCTGTGGATTCCATGTGCTCTACTAAAATTGCAAGTAGTAGAAAAGAAAAGAGGCAGAAAGAAGAAGACAAGGTGAAAAGAACTGAGTAGAGATGTGCAAATCAATAGCAGTGAAATAATCCTGTTTCATAATACCTCTGACATGACARTTCTTTTGAGTAAACCTAACRGATCTGTCAGGTTGAGCATTTCCAYACTCATGTGAGTCCCAGGTTCTCCTGGCCCCAGACTTTCATTCTACTGTCTTCAATCTGCTTTAGCAAAGCCAGCCTCTCACTGGGTATTTTATCCCAGCCARGGGCAAAGGCTTAGCTTAGCCTGTTTTCTCTTCAACTAAGGTATTGAATCAGGATTTGCAGTTGTCTGCTACYGAGAGATCAGAATTCACAGTGGCTTAAAGAAAATCCTACTTTATTTCACTCATTTAAATGAGGTTCACACATAGGCAATCCWGGGCTGCTTTGTGACATTAGGTTCTTTCATCTTTGTATTCCCTTATCCCTGTTGACATTCTTCTAGTTATCTTGCTTCCCTAGATGACAGCATTCTAGAAAATATTAGGAAAAGGGAAGAAGGCAGAACCTTCTCTCTGCAGCTCTGTGTCTCTCTTTTCAGAAGCTTTCCTAGCTATCAATTTCTGCTTAGAAGTCCTTAATCAGGACCTAGTCACAAGACTACATCCAGCCACAATGGTTCTGGTAATGTAGACTTTTACCCGGGTACATCGAACTTCCCAATAATACAGAGAATTAAATAAGGAATGTTGAATAGAGAATTTTAAAGAAGTATTTGCTACAAAAAATGTCCTCGTCCTTATTTTTCATCTACTGAAACTCCACTTATTCCCTGAATCCATTTSATGAAATGTCTTTCCATAAAGCCTCCCTCGGTAGTCAGGTTCCCATAATACCTACAGGGTCAACCAGGGAACACACATTGTCTTTCTAAGTGAACTGGAATTTCCTGAAGAGTCAGAACTCCCTACTAAATTTCCTGGGTAGTCTCCTATAGCACTCAGTAGGTGTTTGGTAATATTTATTAAATAGATAAAAWTGAAAAGAAAGATGGAGTCCAAAGAGCCCTGATATGGTAAGAATAAAAAGATTAGCAGAAGGGAAGAATAAAAGGGATACATGGGGCTATAAGAAATGGAGAGGGATTATCAAAGTTTGGATCTGGCAGTTGAATTGAAGTGCTCCAATATTTATACTAAATACTTATGGTCAACACTTGTGCTCAATAATTTTGCTAAGTTTTTACCAAATATTTAAAGTTGTWCCAATATTTTTTTTGAACATAGTAGAAGAAACATGAAAATAATGAGGAAAATATTTACTGTTCTCATTAAATTTTTACAAAGTTCACATTTAATGATCTTTTTTCAATCATGAACTATATGATTTTTCTTTTTCTTTTTTTATCCCTGATACAGATATTCTCAATAATACATAGAGATGAGGCGTGAATAATTAAACTTTAATTTTATTTTATTTAGGCCTTTGTACTCCCAAATCTCCATTAATGCCAAGTAAGATAACAAATTTGAATAAGATAGGTTAGAATAATTACTCTTGGATAATAAAACTTTATTAACTTGATGCCTTTAATAAAAGTTTGATTTTTTTAAAATTCTTTTTTAAAATATTTTTTTAGTTGTAGATGGACACACTATCTTTGTTTTATTTATTTATTTTGATGTGGTGCTGAGGATGGAACCCAGTGCCTCATGCGTGTGGTTGGGCAAGGGCTCTATCACTGAACTACAATCCCAGTCTCTGATTTCTTCATTCTTTACCAAGGTAAAACCACAAAAGATATGGCKATACCCATTCAAATGATGAAAAGGATCCACTCCTTGATGGAAAAGTACTCAGAGAATTTACAAGAAGATGGTCGGCAACTCATAGCCAGATGCCTTAGGTACTTAGGATTCGAGGAGTTGGCATGTTCTTTACATCCAACCAAGGTAATGTTTTTAGAGCAACTTTGTTTTAATAGAATAATTATGAGTTATAATATGGTAATACAGTCATCTCTTTTAGATTTTTTTATTGAAAATATTATCATTATTAGTAATATACCTGCCCAATCTTGAAGTATAGTCTAAAATTACAAATCTTGAACAAATGCTTACATGGACATAAAAATTAAAAGCCAGATAATTTTGAAGATCTTTTAAACTAATCTTAATTCTATCAAAACATCTCAAAACTGTAGTGTGATTGTTCAGTTGTTTTTAACTATTTATCAGATTCATAGCCACAAATACCATGATGGATATTTGGAAGTCTTGATGTCTACTARTTAATTCACAATGAAGAGAACGATTTAAGTGGTAACATGTCCGTGAAATTTAAAACGGGGTTAAATGCTTTTCACATGGAAGGAACTCAMTAATAAATATTTTAATCATTTAAATAATGTTGTAATTTAAAATCMCTTTCAAAATAATGTTTTAAAATAATATAGGATGTGATGGATGACATAAAGAAGAAGAAAAAGAATAAATATTCAATTGGCATTGGGCCAGCTCGGTTTCAACTGCAATACATGGGCCATTATTTGATAAGRGAAGAAAGAAAAGATCCAGACCCAAGGGTCCAGGATTTTATTCCTGACACATGGCAGGTAATGATGTGAATGCAAAAAATATTCTTGCATTTTCTTATTATATGTGAACTYTGGAGTTGCTCATTATTGTTTTATGTATTATATTTGGTATAGGCTTTTAAATATTGAATATTGAATCATGCCACTAAAAATATTTAGTTATTTAAAATGACAAATATACACTGTCCTTTTATTATTTAAAGAAAGAAAAGTTTTCATTTAATATATAGACAATTTCCTTGAAGGTATTTGACAATTTTTTTCACATACATCAATTTGAAATTTAAGATGCTCGTATCATCCCTCTGAATCCTATGACACAGCCTCCAGATTGGCCCTGTATCAACAGGATTTCATATGTAAACATATAAAGGCACACAGAGAAATTTGGGTAGATTAAACAGTAAAGACAATTGTTTAGTTATGTACAYACTGCATCTGCCACCATAGTRGKTATTCTTCTATAAATGTACATAAAGMAAAATTTGATGGCTATAACATTTGGAAGAAAATYRTCTGCTTTTGCATAYAATGAASCATAYAAAATTTCTGATAAAGTAAGCATGTTTCTCTATAAAAATGCAATTTCAGGGGTTAAGTCTAATAGACTGTCCCACTCAGAATCAGACTGTATTAGTCAGCTTTTCATTAATATAGGGAGATAACTGAGAGAGCCTGAATTTATAAAGAGGYTTATTTAGGTCACAGTTTTGGAGCTTCAAGGTGGCATCATGTCACAGTAGGAGCAAATGTGTGAGAAAGCATCACATCTCAAAAMCAAAAAGCAGAGAAAGCTAGTGGGGCCAGGCTCAAGGTTTTGTAATAAACCTCTTTTGAGAACTACTAAGAACCTCCTTCTGAAGGCATGCCCCCCCCCTCCCCGTGACCTCAGGACCTCTTACTAAGACCCTTCTCTTAGCCCTCCTAACCCCACCTACTTCCAGGTTGCTTCATGGACACTAAAACCATATCCAAACCAGAGTTTGGACTTTACCTTTCTTCTGATGAGTGTGGTGGGTTACCTTAAAAAAAATTCATGCTGCCTTTGCAGGAGCAGGAAAACCAGCTCCTTATTTCAGTTCAGGACATGAGACAGATATTCTCTTAATTCCATACGCATTGTCATTCGGATGCCCACTTCACTCTGGGATGTGGCCCAGATTGAAGAGGTGAGCATGTTGGGATTTCCAGTGTTCTTCCATCTTCTGCTCTTCAGGTAGGTTTACATTTCTTTGGAAGTCTACCTGCCTTCCGAGTAGATGCCTGGCTTTCTTCAATATACAAAGTAGAAGATAAGCTGTAAAGTGAAGAGTCTTTGATGTTTCTCCTCCYCATCCATTTTTCATTTCCGTCATTACAAAATGCATATTGGCTGCTCCAGGGGCCTTTATTTCTCAAAGCTAGTCTGCACTTCCTAAATGAAAACTAAGCGATAAAAAAAATCTTCCCACTAAGATATTTCATTCAGACTCACTTTTCCAGTTTTCACACATCAAGCTTACCTTTCAGATGCTCAAGAGCATAAAAAAAATCATACCCTCTGAGAAAATGGCAGGAGCCCTTGAGATTTTCTTTTTTCCTTGTGTCGGCAACTCTTAGTCATTCCATCAGAGGTTCAGAAAATCATATTGGAAATGTATTAATATGTCTGTTTTGGTATATGTTGTTCATGTAATTGGAACAAATTGTGCTCTGAACCCTACAGCGAGAGCTCCTGGACGTGGTGGATAAACATGAGTCAGCGGTGATTGTTGCCCCAACATCCTCGGGCAAAACCTATGTGTCYTACTACTGCATGGAGAAAGTGCTGAAAGAGAGCGACGAAGGGGTGGTCGTGTATGTCGCACCAACAAAGGTAGTGCTCAGAAGAATGGAATATTTTCTTTCCTTCCTGAGCCTCTTTAAAAATATTGCACACAGTCACCTGGTAGATCTAGTTCACTTTATTTTATTTTGCTTGTATGCTTATGAAAGCAGTAATTAATTTTATTAAAAAATCTATGAAATAAAAGTTAAGATGATTAGATAAGTTCAAGATACTACATACTGCCAAACAAGTCTTCTAAAATTTAAATTCATTTTTATTCCCACTAGTAGTATATGATATTGTACCTTCTCTTACTTGTTCCAGYCTTCCTATTGTCATTTAGTAAGTGCTTGCCATACTGATAGGTGAAACCTATCATCTCATATTTAAATTAGCATTTCTGTGATTTATGACTTGGACACTTTTATGAATGATTTAGGGGGCAGTGACATTTCTTTATTAATAAGCTACTTGTGGATAAGTTTACCCAYTTTTTCTTATTAATGAAAAGTATTATCTTTTCATTAATGAAAATTTTAAATATTTAGTGAAATATTTAATATTTAATGAAAAAATATATTTTTTCTGACAAATGATAATTATGATTATTTTAATGAYAATATTAAATATTTGTATAGGTTTKTATGTGTTCAAATATATGAGAATACATGAAGTGTTACTTCTAATATCTTTATGGTTATGTTATAAAATTTACATTTTAATCTGTATGGATTTTAAAAATTTGTCATTAAGTGTGATATAGATGCCAACAGGTTTGTAGATTCCACTGGCCTAGATACGTACTTGATCTTGAGGAGGGTTTTCTACTCATTCTTGTATACATTCAAACTTTAGACATCTGGGGGATTTCCCAAACATGAGGGATAAGGTACCTTGGCTAGTCCTCACTCGACTTTCTTCAAMGGTAAACTTATGGTTTTTAAGTCTTGGTCATCCAACTATATTATGCTGTTCATTTATGTTTTCT